AAAGGACAGATCTGCCCTTAGTCTTTACATAACAAATAGAGCAAAAAATAAGGCTGAAATAAATAACAACTGAAACAACTAAATGACCAATAGCTAACCCTAGGCAGACTAGAACATCTTCTACCCTACGAACACAGTGGGACCGTAGCTGTGGGGCCCACATCAGTGTTCTCTACAATTAGATAGTTTAATCTCTGTATAATTCCTCTAGTCTATTAATTCTCTCTTGTAAAGTAAGCTAGGCGGAATAAAATCAAAGAAAGAATGAAATAGATCAATTGATTAAAAAACACTTAAGGGATTGAAGAATTTAACTGATCAATAAAAAAGGGATTTAAGAACTCCTTGCTTTCACATGAACCTGGTGCTTGGTATAGTATTATTGTGTTGTTCAGTTAATCCTCTGTTCTTCATTATCACCCTTATTTTCTTGATAAAATAGTCTATTCTTGGTCTGGATTTTTCAAATTGATCCACTTCTGAACTTTTATTCAACTTGTTATTCCATCTCTGCATTCGTGGATGGCATTCTGAAGGCCAGCTATAACTGATCAATAAAAAAGGGTTCTGCAGTTCCTGAAACCATTTAACCAGCTTTTTATGCCAGGGCCAACCTTTAGAAGGCTGTCCACCTCCAACAGATCCTATTTTTTGTTTTGAACCTTCCTCCTTTACTTGCCCCATGATTATTGTTCAATTTGTGGTCCTTTAATGGGTGTCCCCTAGCAACTAGAGAAGTGGCTTTGGAGATGGCCATTAGAGAGAGAGAGAGGTTGTGGCACAAGGTGGTGAATAGTATTCATGGCTGTTTGCAGAACGGTTGGGATGCCGGGGTATCTCAACGGGCGACTCTTGCAACACCCTGGAAGGCCATTCACAGAATTCTACCCTATTTTCTCAATCTGTCAGGCATGATGTTAATTCTGGACACAATGTTCTTTTTTGGGAAGACATTTGGGTGGGCAACCAACCTCTTAAAGACCTTTTCCCCTTTTTTAACTCTCTTTCCCTTTATAAGAAAGAGCCGGTTTCCAGTTTTATTTTCTACTCAGATTCTTCTTTGGCCCTAAACTGGGATTTTGGTTTCCGTAGAGGGTTACATGATGATGAAAGTGCTTGTGTTTCAGATTTATTGTCTTCACTCGAGTCTATTTGTTTAGATCCCCTCAAACTTGACACAAGAATTTGGACCCCTAACCTAAATGGTTTGTTCACTTGCTCCTCTTTCTTCAAGTCCCTTTGTTCCACTTCTGCACCTCAGAATTTCCCAGTTAAAGAATTTTGGACTAGGCCCATTCCCCCAAAGATTGTTGTTTTTTGTTGGGAAGTTTATTATGGTAAGATAACACCTTTGAAAACCTACAAAAGAGAAGACTAAATTGGTGCTTATCCCCTAATTGGTGTGTTCATTGTAAATTTTAGAATGATGACTGTCATCACTTACTGATCTTTTGCTCCTTTGCTACAACTTTATGGAATTGGATTCTTATGTTGTTTGAGTGTAGGTGGAACCTGCCATCTGATACTAGTTTGTTGTTTAGTCCATCTATTTTTGAATGGCACACAAAGAGAGGGAGAATTATGTGGAATTGCATAAGAGCAGCTTTGTTGTGGACAGTTTGGGAAGAAAGGAACACCAGAATCTTTTGTGAAAAAGAAAGGAGCTTCTCGGAAGTTAAAGAATGTATTTTGACAAGGGCAATTCAGTGGCTGAAAACTCTAAAGATCTTTGATGCATAGTCTTTTGATAACCTATGGAGAAGTTGGTTAGCAGTGGCTAATACTTCTACCAAGAAGGACAGACATGGGGTTGAATGGATGCAACCAGGGGAGAAGTTTATCAAGCTGAACTTTGATGGAAGTAGCGGAGGAAATCTGGGACCTTCAGGCATAGGAGGAGTGTTGAGAAACAAAGATAGTAATGTGATATCTTTGTACTCAGGTTTGGCGGGTGTGGGAGATTCTTTAAGGGCCGAATTACTGGCTGCTGTACAAGGAATCCAGCTTGCAAATCAGSTAGGCATAGAGCATCTGATTATTGAAGGGGATTCCCAGGTGATAGTGGGTTGGCTGAAGGATCCAGACACTGTGATTTGGGGTTTTAGAGATCTTCTCAAAAAGGTTAAATGGTTAACAAGGAATATGACAATCAGAGTTCARTGGGTAGGCAGATCAGCAAACTCATTGGCTGATTCACTTGCAAAACAAGGGGTTTCTGAAGATACTTTATTTTGGGCTTCAGTGTAATTTCTTTTGTACTTATAATTCTGTAATTAGCTTTAAAGGAAAGGTCGCATCTYGTGCCTTTCCWCGGRTTGCATGTAACTCTTATTTGCTGGTTTAATAAAATTTCACTCATTTATAAAAAAAACGTGTCCCCTAGCAGCTTTGTTGATGTTCTTCCTCATTGGACAACATCAAGCATGGATCTAGGGATGGATTTTAAAGAGGTTGTCCTTGCAATAGGAAACGAACGAATGCATACTTAGCGTTGTGAGTTAGTGTTCTTTCCCTTTTTACCTCATTGAGTTTTGGTCTCAAAGGGCTTTGGAGGTGATTTGGTGACCTTAGGAACTGCTAGAGAATCTTAGGTCATCCCTTGGCACCTGCACCCCATCTGAGAAGGTTTTTTCTTAATTACAGTTTGACAGTTAACCTCTTGGTAATCCTGGGTCAGCAGTGAGTGGAGAGGTTCTTAATACTGATGGTAGGATTTACTTTGGGTGTTCAATGGATTCATTTGCATTTCAGACTAATGATGCTGAGATGCTTACTCATGTCATATGTGTAGATAGTCAAACAATCTTGCCTTGCCTCTTTGATTATCTGAGTGGATTCATTTAATGTAATTAAATGGAGTGAAAGAACTGGGTGGGTTTTTATGATGCCATGATATTTTATTTTGATTGTTAACAATATCCTTATTAATTATTATGTTCAATTACCAAGGGTCATGTTAGGATGGTGATGTAGGACCAGCTCACTTACTTCCTTACTAGGATCTACTACAATTTGTATCTTGCACTTGACTTTCCTTAACTTGAAATTGTCTGTTAGGCTGTACTTCTTAATGTTTCATATGAAGATCATTTTTTATGTTTATCAATGAGAAATGAAGTTGACTTTATGTTTAATTAGTAACTGATAAAAGGAATTCCAAATCAGTTTTATTTGGAGGGAGTTTACCATTTACATGAATTTGTACATCACTGTACATATGTAGCTTCCTTTATACATATTAGCATCATAGGATCTTGTTAATGTAATGTAATTCTGTTTGGTTCGTACACTTGAAATTTCTATTTTGATAACTAAATTTACTTTTATTTATTTATTTATTATTTTCTTAATGAAGGGAGAAAGCAGACCGTCCTTTTCGTTGCCTTGATTGTCTGTATCGGAGAGAACTGGTTCGGGTATATTTAACAAATGTAGAGCAAATATGCCGACGTTTTGTTGAAGAGAGGAGAAGTAAGCTCGGGAAGCTGATTGAGGACAAAGTGAAGTGGTCAAGGTAGAGTAGTCTTCTCTATATGTTTCCTAAGTTTCCAAAGAATGCTATTTTATTAACTATTCGGTAAAAGTAATGTCAGATCTCTTGGCGATGACATCTGCTTGCTTATTATCTACCTGTGCCTTTGTGTTTGAACTTAAGTATTTTATTTGACCCACCAGATGCTTTCCTTAGTGGCACTGCTTTTCTTTATTGGAAGTGGTGTTCATGGGAAATACCAGGCTGGGCTTATCACCTAGCAAAAGGTGTCAACCTAGACCTGGACCTGGCCAGAAACTATATGGCCCCAGGCTCGGCTTCTTGGCCAATAAACTTGCACACTTACATGTTTTATACACACACTCACACTTGAATTTTTTGGGCTGGGCCTAAAGCATTGGGCTCAGGGACAAGGCCTGGCCCTTAAATTTCCATACCAGGATGTAGAACCTAGGCCCAGAAATTTGTAAGCTGGACTAAGAATGTTTACCCTACTATCAGTCCTACACTTTATGGTGCTTCCATCATGGGACTTGAACACACATTATGCATATAAAATGCTTTACCACATATTTCTTGCCAAAACTACCTCAAAAGCTACTTGTTGCTGGATCCACTACAAATAGGGTTTTGCTTTTATGTTTCGGGTTGTCATTTAGTTCCCTGATGCAACTAAAAAGTATTTACTTGGTTCAGTGGCTCAGAGCATTCCTCTAACAAGATATTTTTACTTGGATTGTTGCAGCTTCCGTGCTTTTTGGTTAGGAATTGACCAAAATTCTAGGCGTTGCATGTCCAGGGAGAAAACTGATGTCATCTTAAAAGTAGTCGTAAAGCAGTTTTTTATAGAGAAGGAAGTCACATCGACATTAGTAATGGATTCACTCTACAGTGGTCTCAAGGCTCTTGAGTGGCAGAGCAAGTGCAAGAAAGGGAGAGGAAAGCTACTGGATACTGAGGAACTTCCAGCTCCTATTGTTTGGGTTGAGAAAGATATGTTTGTTTTGGCAGATGATGTGATACTACTTCTGGAAAGGGCCGCCATGGAGCCTTTGCCTCCAAAGGATGAGAAAGGTCCTCAGAACCGTACAAAAGTAAGCTGTAGAATTATGCAATAGAGACAACATAGGGAGTCTTACATATAGTCACTGATTTTATGACTCTTGTTTTGTGGTGGTCTTCAAGTATGAACCAAACTGGCTTCATTAGTTTTCAAATTTCAGTGATCTATGATGCCACTTTAAAGCCATGATGTATATCAGTGCTTGAATCTGTTGCATTCTTACATTGCATTCTGCATGTTAGTTTCCATATTTGGGTAATACAACAACTTTGAATTGCATGCTTTATGAGTTGCTGTATTCTAGAAGCTTGTTGTTTTGCAAGTGTGCTTTGTGGAGTTAAGTACTTATGCTGTATTCTGTAGTTATAATGATTCTATCCAGTTGCTTTCAAACAAATGTAATAAATTTACTGTTGACAAATTAACTTAGAATGTATTATGAATTAGATGATGTCTACAACACCACCAAGGCTTCTAATATGTAAGAACCATAATAACCTTTCTTACATGGTATGCCCTTCCCAAATTATGATCCGGAAAATTGAAGGATAATTATTCTGTTGGTCAGGTAAAAAATGCCTATCGAATGATTAGCTAATGACTACTGGTGGGTACAAGTTCGAGCTTAGCTTGGCAGAAAAACATAAGGCTCAAATTTGGGATCAAGCTTGATTTGAGCTAGAAACATGAGCTCAATAGAAACCTGCTGAATTAGAGAACCTGTAAAAAGAAGAGATGTTTCTTGTGGAAGAAGAGAAAGAGAAGAGAAGAGAATGAGAAAGAAAGAGAGAGCTTCTTAGATCTGGCTGCCCTCTCCATTGCTATTTATACTTTAGTTAAAGGAATGGTACAATTACTACTATGCCCTTATAGGGCTGATAACACATAAAACTGCATAAAAAGCTAAAAAACACTACTCCAAAGTGTACCAATAAGAGTGTTCTCGCCCCTACTTGCTATCTAAACAAATAATAAACAAAAACAACTAATAAATCTCCACAAATCTGCACAAAAACCTCAACACTTCCCCTCAAGTTGGGAGTAAAATGTCACACATTCCCAACTTGCATAGGGGATGTTCAAGCTTGTTCTTTGCAACCCTTTTGGTGATGACATCAGCTAATTGTAACATAGATGAGACATAAGGCAAGGTGACTTCTCCGACTATCACCCTTTCTCTTATGAAGTGTTAGTCAACCTCAATGTGCTCTGTCATGTCATGTTGAACTAGGTTGTGGGCAATGTTAATCGCAGCTTGGTTGTCACAATATAACATCATGGGCTCCTTTGCCTCTATCCTAATTTCACTCATCAAGGATCTAACCCAAAGTAATTTTGAAACACCATGGACCATAGATCTATATTCTTCCTTTGTACTCAAACTAGTCACCACTGATTGCTTTTTACTCTTCCATGAAACTAGATTTCCTCCCACAAAGGTCGTTACCCCTAATGTGGATCTCCTATCATCTTGACAACTTGCCTAATTTGCATCTGTATAGGTCTCTAGTTTCAAATTCCCATGATCTAAGAATAGAATCCTTCTACCAAGATTCTTCTTCAGGTATGCAAATATCCTATCAATTCTTGTCTAATGTTGATCTCAATGAGCATGTATATACTGACTTACGACCCTAAGAGCATAGGAAATGTCTGGGCGTGTCATACATAAATATACTAGTTGGCCTACCATCCTCTGATATCTTCCCACATCCTTAACCAACTCACCATCCAAAGCATTAATTCTGTGGTTTAGGTCAATAAGAGTATTAGTTGTTTTGACTCCTAGCTTCCCAATTTCTTGCAATAGGTCCAAAATACTTCCTCTTTGAGATAAATATCCCATGCTTGGATATTGCAACCTCAATCCCCAGAAAATGTTTTAGCTCACCTAGATCCTTAATCTCAAATTCTTGCTAAAGTGACTTCTTGAGTGCATCGATCTCCCTCAAATCATTCCTTGTAACAACTATATCATAATCATCTACATATACAATCAGTACTAACACAATTTCTTCTCTCCTCTTCACAAAGAGAGTGTGATCTGATTGGTTTTAGCCTACAAGTTTTCCCTCACCAAAATTTTCATAGAAACCAAGTAGAATGTCCATATATACCTCCTCCTGCAAATCATCATTAAGAAATGCATTTTTAACATTAAGCTGGAAGAGTGGCCATGAATAAATAACTGCTAGAGACAAGAGGATCCGAAATGAGCTCATCTTAGCTACTAGTGTAAAGGTCTCCAAATAGTCTATACCATAGCTCTGTGTATACCTTTTTGCAACCAATCTTGCCTTATTATACCTCTCTATGCTGCCAGCTGCCCTATACTTTACAATGAACACCCATCTACACACAACTGTCTCCTTTTCTGTAGGAAGATCAACTATCTCCCATGTTTGGTTCTTAATCAAAGCCTTCGTTTTTTTTATCGTAGTTGTTTTCCACTCAAATTTGGCGAGAGCCTCACTAATATTCTTGGGTATAGACACGTTGTCTAAGGAAGAAAGGAAGGCATGGTAGGAGGGTGATAGGGCATTGTAATAGAGATGGTGTGAAATGTAACGGGTTGTACACTTTATCTTTCCCTTATGAAGTGCAATAGGAAGGTCAAGATCAACTGCAACATCAGTGTTAGGTACAAAAACATCATCAATGGGATCAGAGGTAATAACATGCTCAAGGGAAATACCTGGACCGGTGGAGAGTGGTGTGCGTTCTTCCATTGGAGCAAGTGTGGTGTCAACTCTCTTGTACTGGCACTGAAAGAATTGGGATGCAAGTCATAGTGGATACTGGAGTTGATGGTGGAACAACAAGTGGAACTGATGGAGTTGACAATGAGGTTGATGGACTAAATGAAGGAACAAGAAGAGAAGCAGACTGTGATCTCTCCTTCCCAAAACACTCTCCCTGAGGAGAACCACTAGAGAAAAAGAATGTAGACTCAAAGAAAGTAACATCCATACTGACAAACCTGTTCCCTGACATTGGATCATAACAACAATACCCCTATTGGTTTTGAGCATACCCAAGAAAAACACATTCCTTGGCCTTAGGATCCAACTTCCTACGATGAGGACCAAGAATGTGGACAAAACAAACACACCCAAAAGTTGGCAGGTGTACAGGGAGAGATGGTGTTCGAAGGACATGAAGGTTTCTCACCAGCCGGTAAGTGGAGAGAAGTGTTGAGAATAGAACGAAAGGAACTGTTGCTGGAGGAGACCTTTTACCAAAAGGAGCTTACGGTTAAGATTAGAGAAGGAAGGAAAGGAACAATTCTGTTAGTGGAAGATGTCATTCCGTGGTTTCAGAGTTTCCTAGATGGTGCTGCTGGCCAGGTGAGTTGGAGTGAAAGGTGGAAAGGTACGCTAAGGCAAGCAAGGAGAGAATACATAGCTGAGAGAAGGAAGAACTCTAGTGGTTGGTTTGTTACCTTGGAAGAGAAGTTCGACAAAAGGAAGAGACAGATATTAGTTATCCCTGAAGGTGTTCGACAACAGGGATGGACAATAGTGGTTAATGCTCTATACAGGAGATTAGTCAGTAAGGAATCAAAGGCAATGAAGGTACAAACAGAGAGAGTAGTTGGTGGATAGAGTAAGAAAGAAGAGATGACAGAAAGAAGAAAGAGACTGGAGATGCTGGACTTAGAAGATGGTGGGAACCCAAGGAAAGCTAACTGTGGTGTTTACTATCCCAGAACCAAGAATTGCATTTGTTGGGGAGAAAGGAAACTAGGAAAAGAAATACATCTTATCTGCTAAGGAGGAGATAAGACATTTTACCACTCCTTTCTAGTTGTATCTTACATATCTCTTTTAATAAAAGTGCTATTATTGATAAAAAAAAAACAAACACACCTAAAATCCCTCAAAGGTATATGAAATATCTCCCCAATAGGAAAAAGTAAACTAAATGGCACCTTAAACCCTAGGATGTGTGAAGGTACATGGTTAATCGGGTACACAACCGTGTGAACTGCATCCCCCCAAAAATGAGTAGGAACTGAAGCAAACACCATAAGACTTCTTGCCACCTCCATAATGTGTCTATTTTTCCTCTCCATTACCCCATTTTGCTACGGTTTATAAACACAACTACTCTAATGAATCACCCCATGCTCCAAAAAATGTGGCCAAATCATTATCAAAATATTGTCTAACATTGTTTGATATGAAAATCTTAGTCCTCACCTCAAAGTCTCAAACTGTGTGAGAACCATCTAGTAGAATTGTCGCACCAAAATAGGTACATCATAATGTGATCTCATCAAATCTATCCAAGAAAACCGAGTATGATCATCAACAAACAAATGGAAATAACAATGTCCACCCATGGAAGAAATTTGATAAGGTCCCCATATATCAGTGTGAACATTATCAAAAGCAAAAGAATGTTTACAATGCTTGGTTTAAAAGAATGTCTACAATGCTTTCCCAACTAACAACTTTCACACTCTAGATTAGATAATTGAACAAACTTAAACAACTCTGGAAACAAACATCTCAATGGTCTGAAAGAAAGATGACCTAACCGAATAATCTGACTCATTGACTCTAATCCACTAACTATTGCTACTAATGTGTTGGCTCTGGTGTCTCTGAGTCTAAACATTTCAAATTTTTCATCAGACTACTCATCGAAAGAAGATTAGCATGAAGTCTGGATGCATGCAAGACAGAGGATAACATAGAATCTATTACACATAGACAATGTAATGGTTATGATAGATCAACTAAATAATCTATTACACAAAAAATCTATTATTTTTTGAAATGAATATTGAACTAAAGAAAATTTAAGCTCATAGAAAATGTAATGGTTATAATAGATCAACTAAATAATCTATTATTTTTTGAAATGAATATTGAACTAGCTCAAAGTTGTAATTGTATAAGTGGCGAGCAATAACATTGTTACTCCACATATCTACAATATTGCCACCAACCTATGTTATGATACTGTCTCTTCTACTCTGTATAGTGCTGGTAGTGTTCACTGGGTATATGCCAATTCTAGTAAAATTTCATGTCACTCCATGGAAGTGGAAATGGAAATATGTCATGTAAATTATCTCTTGTACTCCACCCCTACTAATAACTAGCCTACATGGTAGATATTGCCAGGATAGTGGATGTGTATTATTTATTTATTTATTTTTTGATCAGCAGGATACATGGTGTGTATTGTTTTATCTTCTTAATAGGTAAGTGAAGTTTATTATAAAGAAAGAAAATGAGCAAACTATGGGAGGGAAAAACAAAATAGTACACAAGAAAATGGGAGACAAGTCCAACAAGAATAGAGAAACTGAGACACCCCTAGACAAGATGTATCAGTGTCATGCCTATCAGCATTAAAAAAGAGATGTATCAGCATAATCAAAGTGTTGACTAGCCATCAACTTGTCAGCCAACTAGTCAATTAAAGGCCATATCGACTACTTCCCTAACTAGTTCTCCTAGTCAAGCATAAAGTTATTTTAAAACTTTTTTTTGTTTGTGTTTATCTGTTATTATTTAAAACTTTATCATATATGTTTTTCTTTGGTACATACATGCTAATTGCTTTAAGAATTCCTGATTTTACATGATTGGTTGGTGGTACTTAACTTGAAATTGGTTGTATATCTGTAGTGAGTTACCTTAGACAAATCAGCAACCAAATTGTCAAGGTTTCACTCTTTCTTTTATCCATCCAGTCTTCTTTTTCTGTATTTTCTCTGAGATTGAGTCAATATCTTATATTTATGACATTTTTTTTTTATGATCAACTAGTCGGTGCACAGGCACCAACTAGTCATTGCATTGATCAGGGAGGCCAAAATGAAAAGTCATTGCCTCACTGCATTAATAACACTGAAATGAGTCCCTCTGCTCAAACTCTCCCATCTTTTCCCTCCAGTATTGTTGGAACACTTCAGCTTCACTTTCCTTTCCTAGACTCCTGCTTGAAGGACTTCTTCAAGTTCTGGGGTATTCATATGTTGCCTTGAAACAAAGAATGCAAAATCTTTGAACAAATGGTTTTACCATAATTCTTGTTGGTTAGATCTTCTCTGAGGTACTAGTGTGCACTCTGGATGGGGTTTATTGATGGTTTTCTTACTATGAAATCTTCATGATGGATCCATGCTTGCATGGGTTGAATTAAAAGCAGGTTTTCTATTTCGAGGGATTTCACCAAACTTCTTTTATATGTAGGATGGGAATTGTGGAGAAGATTCTAACAAGGATTCAACTGAGCGTGATGAGAGACGGCTTACTGAGCTTGGTCGGAGGACAATTGAAATTTTTCTCCTGGCTCATATTTATAGGTAATCATGCAGATGGCCGTGTTTTTATTCTAAATATGTTTTTTTTAGTTGGTTCTTTGGAATTATTACTGCATTTTGAAGGACAGCTTACTGCCATAATCTTTATGCAACTTTCTTACTATTCTGGGCCATTAATGATAGAGAAAAGATTTGGGTTAAAAAAATGCCCAGTCCTATGACCATGGGCCTGTGGCCACAGGTCCATATTTGTTGCCTATATACAAGACAGTCCATGCATTGGGCCCATTAATAGTGATGGCCAGCTCAAATGGGGCCCATACCGATTCTTTCCTTGTTTAGTTACATTTGATTAAGAAGATAATTATATTGTAAATCTCAAAAAGGATTGAGTGCTCATCTATATATACCATTGTAAAGATTGGTATTTAGTCCAAGCTATGAAGGTGCTGACTCCATCTCTAGGTGCCAACTCCGAGAGGAACCTTATGGTGTTGAGTCCATTAGGATCTATCTTTTTTTTTTTTTGAACTGTAATGTAAAGTACTTAATTACTTCATCCAGAAAGCTTAGGGCCCATCTCAGCCACCTAAGCAGCGGCAGTTTGGGTGGTTCCATGCATTAATTAACATCATCTCCATCACAGGGTATAAGCATTTTATTCAGTTAATAACATACTAAAGGTATAACCAAGTTCCAAAAATTTAGAAGCTTGCTCCTAGTGCCACTGTTCAAGTGGCTACATTTGAAGAACCCAACGTTATGTGTAGTATCCAAGTCTCCTTTTCAAGTGGCTACATTTAAAGAACCCAACGTTAACCTCCAAAAATTGAGAAGCTTGCTCCTAGTGCCATATTCATTAACATGACCAACAAGAAGAATCCAGGCTCTTTGAGCAAAATAAACCAACAAAGAGCAAGAAACAAAAATCCGTTGATAGATTTGTGGGTACAAACTTATGAAAAGGAATGATTAAGGCGGCACTTGCCAGTCTTCCTATTTATTTTCTTTCGGTGTTAGGATACCTTCAAGGGAAGCTAAGAAGGTAGAAAAGGTGATGAGGGACTTCTTGTGGGAGCCAGGGGAAGAGAAAAGCATCATTTGATTAGGTGGGAGATAGTTAGCAGAAGTAAGGAAGAAGGGGGATTAGGATTAGGTAACCTAGTTATTAAGACTGAAGCTCTACTAGGGAAGTGGCTTTGGAGATGGCCATTGGAGAGAGAGAGGTTGTGGCACAAGGTGGTGAATAGTATTCATGGCTGTTCGCAAAATGGTTGGGATGCTGGGGTATCTTGACGGTTGATTCTTGCAACACCCTAGAAGGCTAAACACAAAATCTTTCCCCATTTTCTCATTCTGGTCAGGTATTATGTTAATTCTGGAAACAATGTTCTTTTTTGGGAAGACATTTTGGTAGGCAACCAATCTCTTAAAGACCTTTTTCCCTCTCATTACTCTCTTTCTCTTTATAAGAAAGAGCTGGTTTCTAATTTTATTTCCTCCCAAGCTTCTTCTTTGGCCTTAAACTAAGATTTTGGTTTCCGAAGAGGGTTACATGATGATGAAAGTGCTTGTGTTTCAGAATTGTTGTCTTCACTTGAGTCTATTTGCTTAGAGCCCCTCAAACCTATTTGGACCCCTAAACCGAAAGGCAGTTTCACTTGCTCCTTTTTCTTAGTGTTTTAAAAGCGCAAGGCGCAAGGGCCATTTTGCGCCTGAGGCGGAAGGCGTTGAGGCAAGGCACACAATTTAAAAAAAAAATCAAAAAAATGCAAAAAAATATAAAACATAATATTAATAAAGATGTTAACTTAAGTTTTAAAATAAATGTTTTAAAAAACCTATTATCTAAAATTAAAATACATAAACATAATATGTAAAGCATATTCAAATGAGAATTTAAAAATGAAATCAAACATATAAAACATTTTCATAAATATAAAACCCACAATCTCTTTTTTTTTCTCAATTGCATCAAGTAACTAATGTGATATATTACATTCCTAATCATACGAGCTGCCTTTGTGCCACACCCCTCGAGGCAAGCCCAAACAAGTCCATGTTAGGGTCTTAAATTCTTAGATTTCACACAAAAAATAATAATTTTATAATAAGTTTCTTCATGTTCCTTTGCTCCACTTCTGCACCCCAGAACTTCCCAATTAAAGAATTTTGGACTAAATCCATTCCCCCAAAGATTACCGTTTTTTGTTGGGAAGTTTATATTATGGTAATACACCTTTGAAAACTTGCAAAGGAGGAGACCAAAATGGTGCTTATCCCCTAATTGGTGTGTTCTTTGTAAAACTCAGAATGAGGACTGTCAGCAGACTCACCACTTACTAATCTCTTGCTCCTTTGCTATAGCTTTATGGAATTGGATATTTATGTTGCTTGAGTGTAGGTGGAACCTGCCATCTGATACTAGCTTTGCTGTTTAGTCCGTCTACCTTTGAATGGCACACAAAGATAGGGAGAATTATGTGGAAGTGCATAAGACCAGCTTTGTTGTGGGCAGTTTGGGAAGAAAGGAACACTGGATTTTTGGTGAAAAAGAAAGGAGCTTTTCATAAGTTAAAGAATGCATTTCGGCAAGGGCAATTTAGTGGCTGAAAGCTCTAAATCTCTTTGATGATGCATACTCTTTCGATGACCCAAGGAGAAGCTGGTTAGCTGTGGCTAATACTTCTACCAGGAAGGACAGATATGTGGTTGAATGGATGCCACCTGGAGAGGAGTTTATTAAGCTGAACTTTGATGGAAGTAGCCGAGGTAACCCTGGACCTTCAGGCATAGGAGGAGCGCTGAGAAATAAAGACAGTAGCATTATATCATTGTATTCAGGTCCTACAGGTGTGGGAGACTCTTTTAAGGGCCTAATTACTTGCTGATGTGCAAGGAATTCTGCTCGCAAACCAACTAGGAATAGAGCATCTGATTATTGAAGGGGATTCCTAGGTGATAGTGGGTTGGTTGAAGGATTTAGACTCTATGATCTGGGGCTTTAGAGATTTTCTCAAAAAGGTTAAATGGCTAACAAGGAATATGACAATCAGAGTTCAGTGGGTAGGCTGATCAGCAACTCAATGGCTGATTCACTTGCAAAACAGGGGGCTCTTTGGGCTACTTTATTTTCGGCTTCTGTGTATTTTTTTTTGTACTTGTAATTCTGTAGCTAATCTTAAAGGAAAGGTCACAGCTCGTGCCTTTCCATGGGTTGTTTGTAACTCTTACTTGCTGGATTAATAATCTTACTCATTTATCAAAAAAAAAAACAGAATGATTTGGAATAAATTAGTAATTGATATTCAGGCACAAACCAGTTCCACTATCTTCCTTAAGACTTCATCTTCTTATTGTCAAAAACTCTTTAGTTTTTCTCCCTTCAAGGAGTTTAAATGGTCGATGCTGGGATTACTCTCCAAACAGATTTTTGCCTTCTTATTGAGGTCAGATAGATACCATCCTCCCACAACCTCCCTAACAACTTTGAGGAAGACCCAACTCACCTTAAAAGCATTAAGGATGTAAGCTCATCTCTTCGAGTTAGAGGGATAATAGATAAAAAGATGATCAATGGGTTCTCATAGATCGTCATAGAAGCTTCAACTAGTGGAGGTGATGGTCAATATCTTTTTAAATAAATTTCCTTAAAGACACACTTGTTAAGTACTGTAGTTTGAAGCATAAATGAAAACTTTGATGGGACGACCAGATTCCATACGGTTTTGGCAGGGTTGTCGATTCCTACCCCCTCTTTTCCCATCTCTTCCCCATTAATAAGTATTGTGGCATTTGATGAACAAACAGAAGACTCAAGTTGCCTGTTTTCATCAATCATGCAATCATTATAGGATAAATCATCAGAGGAATCTAATAGTGTAGGATACTCAAGGGTGGCAATGGTTGTCTGGCAATGTGTCATGAGTCAGGAATAGAGGTAATAACAGAGAACGATTCTAGAGAATAATAACCTTGTTTTCCAATAAAAAGCACGCAATGAATAGTGGCTTTAGCATTGAAATTACCAAGGGTTTTATGAATAATTTCTATGTAGAATATTGTCGTTGTTCATGATATAGTTTTTATGATCAACTTGAATTGGTCATTAGAGATTTTCTTGATCTCATGAATTTTATAATCCATATTAATCCTTTTCTTGGCATACTTAACAACTGTCTACTTTAGCACTAAAGCCAGCTTTAATCTCCAAATTGGTGGCCAGAGGAGGTGGAAAGGGGATCTAAGAGGAGAGGTGGGAAGAGGGAGTCTTTAGGCAGGAACAATTTTCATTCTCTGAGTCTTCATGAGAATGGTGTATGTTGTTCTTGCTTTCGAAGAGTTAGAACCTATCTGATCTATGCCACCTGGGTTAGTTGGGGAATCACCACATGTCAATGCAGGGCCTTGTTACTTGGGGTACTCCCCTTCCTGACACGTATGTAGAAGCACACTGGCTACACTATCCCCTCTCCTAATGATGCTTGTGTCTAAGTGTAACTTGTGATTTGGCATTTCCAGCTTGTATCACACTTATATTGCATGATGTAGCCATCAAGGCTTTGTCTGCAATCTGGCATCATTGACTCGTTGCACTTGTATGACAAGGTGGCCATTGAGGTTTCATCTATGATTTGGCATTTTTGACCCATCGCACTTATATCATATGATGTATGATGTGCGATTGTCAATTCATATCCTTACTCTTATCTTCTGTTGAATTGCATATCATATACTAGGTCATGATGCTCCTACCCATCCTACACAATATTGACATTTTCGTTTTAAATTACTTCGATGGTGGTGTATGTATTGTGAGTGCAGATTTTGCTGGTCATACAAGGATGGGGCTATGGGGTCAGAATTATGGAACTGTGGAACCATGGGGGTAGATTAGGAAAACAAAATGCTAGGGCAAAATTGAAATAGGAATGCTTGGGACAGTACCATAAAGAAGTGTTATGGTACTAGGTTCATATTTTGAACTGTTCTACTTTAACATGTTTTTCTAGATGCCATTTTTGGTATTTTCTATGCCTTATATGTGTTAGAGGCTTTTGTATTGCAGCAATATTATTGAAGTTGCATACCAGGAAGCTGTTGCTCTGAAGAGGCAAGAGGAACTCATACGTGAAGAAGAGGCAGCTGGGTTAGCTGAAAGTGAGCAAAAGGCTAAGCGTGGAGCAGCTGAAAAGGAGAAGAGATCAAAGAAAAAACAGGTCTGTCATTTTAACAAAAATATGCCCTATAACTATGCGTGTGTTTGGAATCGTGGGCGTTTGTTGAATAAACGCTGCCACATAGGCGCCACTTCAGCATTTCTCCATTATGCGTATCCGTACGCATAGGGACGTGCAAAAGTAGATTTCAGTTTATGTGTGCGCCTACCGTTGGGGGAAGCTTCATTTTAGCACTTCCTCCAACGGGTAGGTGTTTATTCACTGTTTTGCTGATGTGGCGTCTAATGTTGCCTAAGTGTCAATAAATGGGTTCATCGTTGCTTTTCTCGGTTTTCCAAACAAATCAAGTACAAAACATTTAGTCAATAAACGTCCATGGTTCCAAACACATACTTTGTGGTTCTGTGGTTCAATTTTATATGTGGCTTTTTGGAATCATTGACCCTGAGAAGATAAATCATAGCATATCTCTTTTGTTTTTGGTAACATATATCAACTTTTATTTTCCTCTCCAGATGTTCAGAAAGGGTTCCTATGGAAATTATCGGTATTTTGGGGTTTAAAAGGTTGTCCTTAATTGCTTGTTCTGGTATTTACCATGAGAGGCTAATAAATTGGTAAAAGATCTGGACAAATCTGATCATACAAGCGGCTTAAATTCTTATTGTATATCAGACTTTTGGGCCCTCGGCAGTCAGCAAACCATAGATGCTTCATTCTTCACTTCTGATGTTACAAAACAATTTGGCGTGCATAAGCTATCCAAAGGCAGGGACTAGAAGGACTATACATTTGGCTAGTTCTTTGCCTTTCATTAACACCCATCTATTCAACACTTTTTTTCTTATTTTGAAAGATGGTCTGAAATTTTCATATTAAAATGGAGGAAGATCTTCCCTCCTAATACAAATTTACAATGTAGGGGACTGGTATGGTGCCCACAGAGTATGATATATCATAAATTTACATAATCATGGATTAGATTACAAAACCTGTCCCAAACTATCCTCTGCCAGTGATTCCAGCATAGCGTATACATTTCATTAACACCTATCTATTCAACTATTTTTTGTTCGACATGGAAGTTAAAGTTAATTGGGTTAACAGATGTGCAAACTCCTTTGCTGATGGGTTAGCAAAACAAAGGGTAAATAGGGGTACTTTGTTTTGGGCTCAACTCTGCTTTGTTTGTTTCTTGTTTTGGGGAGATAAGAGAGGTTATCTCCTCCCTTTGTATCCTTAATTTTATTTAATGAAATCTCTTGTTATTGATAAAAAAACTTTATTTTTTGTTCTTTTCAAAGATGGTCTGAAAACTTCATATTAAAATGGAGGGAGATGTTCTCTCTTAATACAAATTTACAATGTAGGGAACCGGTATGGTGGCCATACGGTATGCTACGTTATATCATAAATTTACTTAATCATGGATTATATTACAAAACATTTGTCCCATACCATTGTGCCAAGGCCCACCCAGGTCACAATGGGACCTTGGTGAGGCTCATACCTTAAAATGCATATCACCTGAGTGCCTAGGCATGCCTGAGGCACGTCCTTTACATTACTGAGTTAGAATCTGCAAACTAAAGGAGCTGTTGAAAGGGCTTAGACTGTATCAGGTTATCGACTTATACTGATGAATCTGCCTTTTCAGATCAATTCATACAGCCTCCTTCAGTTAACAAATAACAGGTTCTTTGTAGTTGTTGTATCCCCTTTCTATGGGGCCTCATTGAAGAACAAACAAGGCCTTGTGATAGATTAGTCCACTGAATGACCAGTCTCTCCGTCTTCCAATTACTGCCGCTCTGGTTAATCCCTATCTATTGAATATTCTGCTATTTACATTCAAGCAGTCAAGCCACACTGACTGACATGTAGCTCTTGGGACCAGGTTCCATAACATTTGTTGTTACTTATCATGTCATTCATTTTAAAGTTAAACCATAAAGGGTTTGCCAAGAGAAAGTAAATGGACGTTAATATGTTATGATAATGTACCTCTGTATTAGGCAAATATTTTAGCTTTTGCAGTCTTGTAGAGTGTTGGATCTTTGTTTCTTCTTTAGTCTCGCATCTTTATTGTTTGGTTATTTTGTCAAGTGAGATTTACCAAAAAAGAATGTCTATAGTGCATGTGCATCTACAGGTTCTTTTGCAATACACTTGCATCTTCAACTGTAATATTTTCAGGGATAGCATTGGAAATGTTTTCCTTTCCATGTATCATGTGTCTATTCTCTATGTATTACAATTATTTTCCTTTGATAAATTTTCCATGGAAGGGTGGATATTTTCCCCCTAGACTAGAAGAATCCATTAAGAAGAAAATAGCATGTACACAGGTTCGGGTTGCCAAATATGAAGGGTTGGATGTGAGGGTGGGAATGAAAAGTAGGCCCTTAGAAAGACCCACCCAAAACACAAGATGCACATGGATACAATCCAAACGAGCATAATCAATTTCTTGGTTGTTAAACAGAAGCCTCTCATCTGATACCTTTCTGTGAATTTTTCTCTAGTCTGAGCTCTGTTTTTGTTCTTCCACAGTCTAAACAAAAGCGAGGCAGTCGCAAAGGAAAAGATAGGGGAAGGGACGAAAAGTCTGTTGTGGGAGTACAAGACAAGCACCAAGTAGAAAGTCCTACTAAAAGAACCATGGAGGACTTCTCCGAGAAGCAGTCTTTTAATGTGCTTAAAAAACAAGATTCTCTGCAAGATGTTTCTGATGTCTCTGATACAGGAGATGATGTTGTTGAGACACTTCAGCCAGATTTGGAAGACAGGGATGCTAGTCCTGCCAACTGGGACACTGATACATCAGAAGTTCATCCTTCTACAGAAGCCAGTAGCAGTGGAATGAGTGGTCTTCCTGTACAAAATGGACATGTAGAGAAGAAAAGCCCATCTGTAATAGATGACAGCTCTTCTACATGTTCTACAGATTCAGTTCCATCAGTAGTGATGAATGGGCCCTACAAAGTAAATTCTTTACCAAAGTATAGAAATCAAATATCTCCGAGCAGGTAAGCAATCAAGGCTGGTATGATTTTATATTTGGAATGTATATCTAGTATCTATTTGACTTTTTCACTTCAATGTGTAGAGCAAAGAATCAGCATGGTAAGGAGACGTGTGATAGGAGTAGTTGGGCCAATGATACAGATAACCATCCATCTGACCAAGCATCAGATGCAGGGCCTCTAAATGATGCCTCTGAAAGTAGTAGGGAAGCTGAAACTGAACCTGAAGTTGTTGTTCTCTCATTGAAGGATAGGATACAATGGCTTGAACAACATTTAGTTGAGAAGGTCGGTATATCTTCTTCTTTTGTTTCCTATTTTGGGTATCATTACTGGTGTAGCAAATATTAACTAAAGTAGAACAATTACCATTACTCAGGCAATAGATCTTCACTGCAGGAAAAATGGCATACATGCATACATTCTTGTGGACCCATTTATGAGTTAAAGTATAAGAACAGAGAAAGAGAATAAAAAAAATCATGAGATGTGCTAGCAAAATTTCTTTTTTCAATGAAGTATTTGACCGGTTCAGAAGGTGAATTTAGGAGGGCAGCTTGTGCACCATGAATGCATCCATGCACATGTGGTAACCATCCTATTATTAATATGCTGCTATCTGAATTGCTCTTGTTTGCATTTGTATAAGGGGTGTCATGCATTTCAGGTGAGTCGGGTGTGGACATTATTTAAGTCCCACGGGCTTGGGCTCAGGCCCAAAACATTAGGCCTGATTTTTTTGGAGCAAGGTCGAGCTTTCTCAAAAAAGCCCAAGCCTGAGCCCAGTAATATTTTATATAATAAAAAACATGTTTTATATAATAAAACATTTTTGGGTTCCAAGGTCATTTAATAAAATAAATCAGTTTTTATTGAGTAAAAAAATATTTTTCCCAATTTATAGGTCGGGCTTTGGTCTCAAGCCTAGGCTTCAAGCTTTATAGAAGGGTCGGGCTCAGGCTCAAGATTTAGGGCCAATGGTCAGGCTAGGCTTGGGATTGGGCCTGAATGTATTTTGTTAATAAAGAGGCAAGGCCCGACTCAACCTGTGAATAGGTCTACTAACGATTAGAGGTGTTCCCCTTTTATTAGAAGTGGGATATAACCATATCATCTCCATCATGATTGGAAACAATTGAATATGCTACACTTTGTTCTTATTTCTTCTTACTTAAGGTTAAGTCTAGGACACATCTTATGGATATGCATAGGATGCACATTCAACAAAAGTTAAAAAACAACAAAAAAAAAGGTGCACATGGTTATACATAAGAACTCATTCAAATATGTGGATAATAGTAAGTATGATGAATTCTATAGGTTAGTAAAATTAATTGCTAAGCTATTTATTTTAGTAGTGTTCCCTTGGTTAAGGATGCTTGATGGAACTATTTTGTGATATTTGCTTTTTTTAAGTAGCTAAACATGGATGCACATGACAAAATAGATTTGTCCAGAATCATCCTTGAGAACGTATGTTGGAGAGTTAAAGTCCTCTCTATTAACGACAGAATTATTTGGAATATGATTTATGCACCTACATTTTGGACAATTTGGATGGAGAACAAATTGGCCAATACAACATAGACTAGTGGTGGTGGATGTTTGCATTAGGTAAATGGAAGAGAATAGGGGAGAAAATAGGTGTTCAAGAATTAGGTGGGAAAACCTAAAAGGAGAAATGCTCAAGGTTTAAAATGTTGATGTTGGTCATCCAAATATAAGAAACATGTTGGAAATGTCGGAAATATCATATGGAAATATTGTAAAAATTATAGACATGGTGAAAACTTTGTAAAATATGCAAAATATAGAATGATAATGTAATGATAAAAGAAGCATAAACACACCTTTTTAAATTATTATCCTTTTCCAAATCAATAAACAAAGCTAAGAAACTAAGGTTATAGACAAAAGAATACGTTCTGAAGTTGCCCTGTAAACCTTTAAGATTCAGAGCTTCATGATAGAATGAGTTAGAGCAAAATTTTGACTCGGTGGTTATAATAGATCAATCAAAGTGGTAATCATGTAAGTTAGGCAGACAATAAAATTGTTACGTCACATATCTACAATATCTCTTGGACTCTACAAAGTACTAGTAGTGTTCACTGGGGAATATGTCAATTCCAATAAAATTTCATGTCGCTACCCATGGAAGTGGAAATGGAAATGTCAATTCGTGTCCCTACCCATGGAAATGGAAATATGCCATGGAAATTAGGTATATTTAAACCATGGAAGTGCTAGCTCAATTTAAAAAACAGATTGATAAAAGAAGGGAATTGGAATTTATATGAAGAAAATAACAAAGGATGTCTTGGAAGAATATAAAGGGAAGTGGCAAGGTACTAAAGAAACTTGCTGGTGGAATGTGGTTCAAAATATAATTAGATTAAAATGAACATGCTACAAAAAATGGAAAAGCAATCTAGAAATGTAGAAAACTGGGAAAAATATAATGCCACAAGGAAATTAAAAATAAAGTGAATTAAGTTAAATGTAAGGCTTATGACGAGCTTTACCATAAATTAGGCACTAAAGAGGGAGAAAAAGGAATGCATAAACTAGCAAAACTAAGATGAATGAGTGGAAAAGCTAGAAAGGATAGGATTAGCAATGAAGTTATCCGTAGGAACCTAGCAGTAGCTCCAATAGGTGATAAAATGAGATAGAGTAGACTAAGATGGTTTTGGCACGTGCATAGAAGACCACCAATTGCACCAGTTAGAAGAAGTGATTTCTTACACATTGAAGGGGTAAAGAGCTTGGCGTAGACAAAAAAGACATGGGTAGAAGTTAAAATTCTCTTGGGTAAAGGCACAAAGTACAATATACTTTACCTCATCTCAAAATAAAAAATTAAACTGGGTAGTGTTTCTTCTGTTTGACTATGTTAAAGGGAAACTGCTAAGCTATGTTTGGAATGTTTTCAAAGTGCTAATTCTTATGAATTTTGTGATTTTAATTAATCACTTTTAACCTAATTTTGGATTTATCGAAATTGTTGGAAGTAATTCCTTTTCTGGGCTCAAAATTCATTCTAAGAATTGATTCTTTTGAAGCTAAAAAATTTAGCTTAGAAAAGGGAATTTTTTTGTCTCAGTTCATTCTTCAAAAAGTGATTCTATGAAGAAGAATTTTGACCAAACATACTCTAGGTTTCTTCATTTCCTCTATTGTGGAAGTGTACATTCATTCCAGTAACTCTTGCATAATTCTGGTGAAGTAGATTTACACTTTGGTGGATAAATAGAATTATATTAAACAAAAGGGATATTTACATTACTGTTCCAAGCAAGGAGGCGGAACAATTCCACCAAACACAAAACTCACCAAAACATGTTGCCCTCTGAGCATAATATGAGCAGCATAGTTGTTTGTTCTGGGGACATAATTAACTTTAACATAATCCAAAAAAGATAAATTTGACTGGACTCTATCCAGCCTATCCATATGCGACCGTGAAAGTGGAGTTTCCTTGCCACAGGGTCTTCCACCACTTTTTTAGGCTTTTGGTTCTTTATTTAATACAAGACTTCAGAAAATCTGAGATACAACCACAAGTTTTTCAGATTATAATGGGTTGTCATTTCTTATTTTATCAGGAAGAAGAAGTTGTTTCACTGCAACGGAAATTGAGTGTAAAGGATCAGGTTGATGTTGAAACACGCATCAAGCAAAGAACAACAGAATCATCTTCCTATCCCAGCAGTCCCACCACAAATCGGCCTTCCAATGTGATGGCTAAACCATTGGCAGAAAGCACAGCTCTAGCTGAACCAATTCCAGTTAGGGAGACTACTTCAAATAGCTTGTTGCAAGCAGAGAAAGGTGTTTCTCTGACAACACCCCAACCCCAAGTTTCGGCTGTGTCCAAATCAGATTCTCAAAAGCCTGTATCTCCATCAAGGTCCACACTTGCATCAATGGAGAAACCTGTAGCACGACAACTATCAGTATCAAGGCCTTCAAGTGCTCCGTTGATTCCTGGTCACAGGCCTACTGCTCCTGTTGTTTCCATGGTTAACACAGCACCTTTACTATCAAGGTCTGTGAGTGCAGCTGGACGATTGGGCTCTGACCCCTTGCCAACAAGCCAGAGCTATGCTCCTCAGTCCTACAGAAATGCCATAATGGGTAGAACTGTAGCAGCAGGTGTAGTTGGTTTTGCTCCTCGTCACTCTTCAGGTCCTGCAGTAAATGCAGCACCGGTGTTCTCTCAACCTCCTGCCTCGGTGTCCTCACCAATTCTTTCATCTCAAGGCTCCACAAGGACAGATCAGGGCTTTGTCAAGTCAGGCTTTAGTTTTGGCAACGTTACTCCAGAAATACTACAAAGTCGACCACAGTGGATGGAAGAGTGCAGCCAAAGGGATACCCGCAACGTAATCCGTGATCCATCCTTGCTAAATGGTACTCAGAACCTGTACTCACGTGGTACTAGCAGTAGTGGCTCCAGGACATACTTTGTAGATGATCTGACTGCTGGTTTGCCAGCACGACAACCACAAGGAGTATCTGCAGATGAGTTTCCCCACCTTGATATCATTAACTACCTGCTTGACGAGGAGCACAACATTGGTAAGGCAGCTAAAGCGAGCTCAGTCTTCCAAGGTCCCAGTAATGGGCATCACCACCTCTTGAATCGGCAATTAACTTTTCCAGGTAATATGGGTGTATCAGCAGATATGGGGCCTTCTGTTAACTGCTGCAGATTAGATCGGCCAACAAGCTACCATGATGATGGGATGCAACGAATCTATAGCTCGAGTGGTCATTTTGATGGAATGAGGGATGTAGTACCCCAAGTGGGACTGTCGGTATATGCGAATAGTGGGATTAATGGACTGGCTCAGAACCGGTGGCCAGTGGATGGTGCTGATCTCTCTTTGCTTAGCATGAGGAATGGTGAGAGTGATGGTTACCCATTTCAGCTGCCAGAGTATTCAAATATGGCTTCTGGGATAAATGGTTATGCTGTATTTCGGCCTTCTAATGGACATTAAATTAGACCTGTGACAGAGTTCACCTGCAACCGACTGCTTGTCATCTGTCACAGTAATGTACGAGGAAAGTGTGGGTCTCAGCTTTAGAGTGAGTTGTAATCCTTTGATGGTAAAACGTTTTGTAAAGAGTGATTTTGCCCCTCTCCTGTTGCCTGTCGTCTCTTGCCTTCATGCGTTTCTAACGATGTGCAAGAACGCTCACTAAATTGCACTTCTGCCGACTACTATGAGCTAGGTTGTCCGTCTCCAAAGTTGAACTTGAATTCTACCAACCAATCTTGGCCAGTTTTGGTCCTTATTCCCGGGCTGTCAAACCAGACTTATCTCTAGCCTCTTATTGCCTAGTAACCACTAACCACCGACCAGAGTTGCGCCATTTATATAACTCTAAAAGTTGTCAATTGAGCTTAGAATCGAACTCGAATCAAGCCTAATCAAACTCAAATCAACACTAGCTAGCAGCAATGTTCAAAATATCGATACACCTTTTTTTTAGTTTTTTTTTTCAAATCCAGTTCAGTGGGGCTGGTTTAAGGTTTGTTCACCCCCTGAACTGGTCAAAACCCCGATGCCTCTTTTGTAGGGGCATATCAGGAAACTTTCGATATGATATGTATCAGCTGATACGGGTCAATACGTGTTGATTTTTTCAACTTTGGCTAGCAGTTGGTAAGTTTTAGTGGCACATATAAGTGATATAACCATGGCTAAGAGTAATTTTATAAGGATACTCACTGAAAACATGTTAAAAATGGTAATTTATTTAAACCTAATGTTCAAAATATCAATATTGCATATGGAGGTTTTGATATGGATGTGTATCATAACATGCTTTTATAAGTGGATTCAATAGAAAGATATGGAAACATTTGAATATGTTGAGGAAATTCTTAACATATCCCACAAATGCATCAATTATACTAAAACTAAAGTTGAAAACTTGAAATAACTATGAATATAAGCACAAAAGAAGTGCACATTTTATATGGAGAGTTTAGAACATGTAGATAGAATAGAATATCTTTATTAGTAATATACCAAGTGATGGGTTTGAGCTTCCAATTTACTAAAAAATCATTAAAATGCACATTAATTTTTTGTGAGATCAATGAGTTTGACAGATAGTCCTCTTATACTTCTTTCTTACCATGAAACATTTAGAATATATAAAATAAATTATATTTCTAATTTTTGGGTTTTCCTAAAAAATGAAAAAATAATCATCTTTAAGAATATATGTTATAAAATATATAAAACAATGACCATGTCTATTATAATAGTCCCCCCCCCAACTATATGATAAAACATATGTCCAAACTTGTTAGACATATATGTCTAATTATAAAACATATATGATGAGGAACCCATTGATCAAATTGTGACGCTACAGCGGATCCTCTTGGGGATCCGCCCCTCTCCTTTGTCTCAGTTGTTTGATCTTCTACCTCCTCCACTCCTTTCATCCACGAAGTCTTGGATCTGGAAATCAAGGCTCCATCTCTAAAACGTGGAGAACCAGTAGTCCTCTTCTCTGAGGAAGAAATCCAACGATCCACAATCCCCCTGCGGCTTGCCCTAGTTGCTAAGTGCGCTTATGGTCGACCTCCATTAATGGAGTTAAAAAAAAAAAAAAAAAATTCTAATCAGAACTTTCAAGCTGAAATAGAATCTGGTGATTACCTTGATTGACTCTAGGCACATGTTGTTTCGGTTTGAAGATGAGGAGGAGTTTCTTCGAGTCTGGTCGAGGGAAGCTTTCTACGTAGGAGGCCTACCAAAGAGACCACCACCAGCGAAACAACAGAAATCAAGGAAAGTAATTTATAGATCGACGGGGAGATTATTTCCCTTGTCGATTGATGATGGGGATAAGCAGTTACAGGTGGAAACTGGCGATGTGTTTTGCAACGAGGATGACAGCATTTTAGAAATCACTAAGACACCAATTAAATTAGTAGAGAAACTCTGTGATGATCAGGCTTGTTTACAGAAAAGAAAAGATCAACAGCAGTACGCCGCAGCCTGGGAGGTGCTAGCACTCAACGGGAGAATCTGTGTTTAGCAGACTAGAAGTTATGCAAATGTGTCATGGATTTGCGGGTACAGCACTATCTAGATCAAGAATTTGCCACCAAAACGGATTCTCAGGCTCCTCACTTTCTCCGGTCCAACGAGTTAACAGAAGACAGATTTGCCATGGTGACGGTGAAGAAAAAGAGACCACGGAAGCAGCACCCTACAGAGGAGCCAAGAATGGTAACAAGGTCTCAGACCCAACGAGGTAACAAAACTCTCTCTCTTTAATTATGTTGTGGGTTTTCTGGAACATCCGAGGTTCGAATAACCCTCAATCCCTGAGAAGATTGAAAAACATCAATAGATTGCATCGAGTGGATTTATTTATGATCGTTGAACCTATGATGAATTTTGAAAACTTGAGATTGTTAACTCACAAGTTGAAAATGCAGCACCGGTTTTCTCAGAACTCTTCTAATAAAATTTGTCTACTTTGTAAAAATAATATTGGTGTTAAGGTAGTTGAAGATGCAAAACAGTTTTTGTTTTTGAGAGTTTCTTCTCTAGATAATTTCATTGCTATGTGGTAGTGATTGGTATTGGGTTAATACATAGAAAATGTAAATATTAAGGATATATACGAAGAAATATATTACGATTAATGTATCAAAATATAGAATTTTATTTATAGTGCATCAATCAAGAGTCCAGCACATTAAATATATGCACCTATTATATTTTAATTATTATATCAATTATTTTTATTTTACTATTTTAATTTTTTAACATTAAGAAAAAGTCAACTCAAATATCAATTAATAATTTATAAAAATATAATCCTAACTTAAAGTATATCAAATTTGTTAAAATTTCTAAGATACATATCATATATAAATTCATTATTTTTAATTACTAAAATAATTATTCCATTATTAATATATTTATTTCTATAAATTTTGTGAAATAAAAAAAAAACATTTTTTGAAATAAATGTAGATTAGTGAATTTGATAGATTCAATTTAATATTATATTCTTCATTACTTTGTATATAATATTTTTATTTTTTTTGTAAATAATAAATATGTTGTTATTACTTGTTAACGTAAATTAAAATATTTAATGGTTTGGAATCGTAGTGAGCTCTAAACCATCCAGGTTCTAGCACATGTGGCTTGAACACAAAGGGTTTTTTCAGTTAGTAAAAGAGAATTGGTAGCAAAATATTGATTGAAACCCAATGCAGGTCCTCTTTCTAAAAATTCAAAGACTTCGGGGGGCTCTTAAGAGATGGAATTGGTTGGTTTTTGGGAACATATACCAAGTTAAAGATGTCGAGGATGAAATGGCCTTAAAATCGAAAAGCTGAATCAACTGAAAAAACCAATTGAAACTGAACCGAAAATTCGGTTAATCAAATCAGTCGGTTCGGTTTTGGTTTGATATTATAGAAAATCGAAGGTACTGTTTCGGGTTCGGTTAACCAAGTCAACTGGTATACATATATTTATATATATATTTTATGCATATTTATATATTATATATATTTATATATATATTATATTATATTTTCTATACATTATAAATTAATAAATATGCATTATAAAAAAATATATAATATATTATTTATTATTTAAAATATAATATTATATATATATTTCTAATATTTTATTATATATTTATATATTTTTCTATAATAAATATTGTAAAATAATAAAAAACGAAAAACCAATGGTTAATTGAACCGGTCAACCGGTTAACCGACCGACTTCGGTTTGGTTTCGGTTACCGGTTTTTCAAAAACCCCTAATTAAATGGCCCATATTGATGACTCTTTGGAGAGTAGCCTTGAAGGTTTAAAAGATGCTAAACAATAGTTGCACTTGAAATATAAGATGGAAGAGACTTTTTTGGAAGCAAAAATCCAGAATTCATTGGTTGAAGGAAGGTGACAGAAACACGGCCTTCTTCCATGCAACAGTTAATAGGGAGCTTTCATTGGTGGTCGAAGTATTTTGGACTGTGTGGTGGTGGTTCAAGACCTAGCCCAAGAAATTGATAGTAAAGCATTGAGAGGCAATGTGATTTTGAAAAAAAAGAGTATAAATACAAATTTATAGAGTGCAAAACCTTGTATTTTGTATTATTTTTTATGTATTTGCACTGTACATATTTGTATTTGTACTCTTTCCAAATTGAGCCTTAACGTGTTGGTGAGATTTGGCTTCTCTGAGGTGTGGACTGAGTTGATACAGAAAATTGTGGTGAACTATTGGTTCTCGATGGTGGTGAACAGATCTATGCATGGCTTCTTTAAATCCTTTCACGGTGTAAGGAAAGGTGACCCTTTAAGTTGTCATCTTTTATGTTCATTCACATTGTCTTTATGTAGATGCCACCAAGGTTCAAAGTATCAGAAACACAAGGTGTATCGGAAAGGTAATTTTAAGAGATGTATCAAGATACTCTTTGGAAACGTATAGATACGGACGAAAAATTAAGATACGCATGGATACACTAGAAAATTCAAAAAATCTTTAAAAAACATGAACAATGATAAAAATGAGTTTTATGTGATTATAACTAATTTATTTAAACATAAAAAAAAAATCATTCTTTAATGATTTATATGAAGTATTGGGATATAATTAGTAACCATTGAAAAATAATAGAAGAACTAAAATGTATGTGTATACATACTAATATTTATTAGTTAATCTTTTTTTGAAGTCATTTATTAGTTAATGTTTATTATATATAGATTTAGATGATATTTATTATGTATACAAGTTAATGTATTCCTTAATTTTTAATAAATAAATTTAACTTGTATCCATCTTATTATTATATAAATTTTAATAATCAAATTTATAGCATTTGTTGGGAAACATCCACCAATGCAAGAAAGATTACTTTAAGTATAAAAAAACATGTTATTCTAAAAAGTAATTGAGGTTGGCATAATGGTTAATTAATTAGTGTTGCAAGAATAACTTGGGTTCAGAACTTCTTATCTTTGGTTTGTGATTTTTAACAAGTTATTTGACTTAAATAACATTTAATGACATATTAAATGCTGTAATTAAAGGTAACTTAAATGGGCATTTAGTTAAATTATATAAGCATTTAATGACGT